CAAATTTCGGGGGTCATGCTGACTTCGTAAGACATGCAAACCCTTGGCAGGTCCACTTGCCAAGGAGGAGGGCTTAGGGTCAGGGCCAGGAAGTCGGGGTCCTGGTTCTGCCTCGGGGTTTGTGATGTCGTTGTCCTAGCCTCCTGCCGAGTTTCCTCCAGAAGCAGTAGTGGGGCTCCTGCAGCTCGCCGGTGCTTCGTTTCTGGACGGGGTTGGGATGGGAAGAGACGTGTCCCTTCACCAGCGGTGCCGTGTGTCCTCTTGGTTTGCACGGGCCTGTAAATACCTGTACATGAGTCTGTGTGTTCTTGTGCCGTCTCGGGGTTTGTAACGTGTTTGTGTTCTGTTTACATTAAAAGGAAGCAAAGACAATCCCAGTGGCCTTGTCTGCAGAACATACGGCTCCTGCATATCTCCTCCAGGTCTAGAAAGTGGGTTTTCCTGCCAGCATTGGCAGGTACCCACTGTCTTCTGCCGTGCTGCCCGCCCCTTCCTTCTGGGGCGGGGGCCAGCGCCCCTCCAAAGTGTCCCCTCTGCCCAGTCAGAGTCGCCGCAGCTCCACAGCGTGGGCTGCTGGAGCGACAGGTTCTACACCCCTGAGTTTGATGTCACTGGCAGGAGCCGCAGGCTTCTCCAGGTCACACTCTGAGCTGGCCTCAGCTGGCCAGTTTCATTGCTGGAAGAAGGGCTGGTCTGGTGTCAGGTGCTCTGGGCCCTCGCTGGGCAGACAGTTGGGACTGCGAGGAGACTTAGGAGCCCTGAGCCTGGGGAAGCAGCCCATCAGGAGTCAACCTCAGAGCAGGAACGGGAGTGCCCGAGGGCCTGGGAGCCCCAGGGCTGAGCGGGGTGGGGGGAGCAAGGAGAACCTTTGCGGCAGCTGTGAGTTTGCGGTCTGGAGCCGGCATCTGGTCTTCGGAGCCCTGGGTGTGTCTGCCTTCCCCTAACTCAGCCTTGAGGCTCCACTTCTCCAACCTCCCATTCTGATGCCGGCGGAAGGAGTGTTCCCTTTTCAGAGCTGCCTGAAGTTTCCATGCCTTACCCGTACGCTCTGTGTATGAGTCTTGCATCTCCAAGGGGTTTTGGTTCATAAAGAAATCGTGTTCTGGAGGACATGTGTTCTGCCTCCCCTGTTCTGGTTCTTTAGTTCGGCGCCTGTCCTGCCTGGGTCCTGCTGAGCCCAGGGCCCGGGGGGCAGCGCTCTGGGACAGGCGCTGATGTGCCCACGTGGTGGGGAGCAGCGGGGCGGCAGCCAGCAGCGCACTCTTGACGTAAGTCACGCCGCCTCTGAGATGGATGTCCCTGGGGCGACTGGTGTTTTGCCCCAGCGTGACTTGCCCAGGACGTGGGGGTTTGACAGAATTCGTGTGTGTGTGTGTGTGTGTGTGTGTGTGTGTGTGTGTGTGAGAGAGAGAGAGAGAGAGAGACGGGCTTTCTGCCAGCTCTCACCAGGGCCTACAGGAGGTTGGTGCCGTGAGGGGTTGGTTCGGGTGAGAGGGAGTTGCCCATTCTTACCCACTGGCAGTCTGGTCCCTTGGCCTGCCTGCTGGAGGCTTTGATCTGTGTTCCTGACCTCCCCACCCCTCTGAAGCTTCACCAGAGGGGCTGTTTCTCCTCGTGGCATGCAGTGGCCTGAGACACCTGCCTCAGTCTGTGCAGACAGGAGCAGGGACTGAGAACCGCTAGGGCTGCAGAGCCGGGTGGAGGCTTGGCCCCGAGGCCCAGCAGGGTGTGAGCCTCGATGCAGGCACGGCCAGGGTGTGGTCAAGGCAGGTTGGCCCTGTGAGCCCAGTGACCACTGATCTTGGCGGCTTTGGGACCACTGACCTGGGTCCCAAGCTGGGCAGGGCGTGAGATGGCCCCTTGTAAAAGGCTGAAATACATTAAACTTGGAGTGTTGCTAACCAGGCTTGGGGCCCACTGCTCTTTCCCTCGCTTCGAGGACAGAAACTTCCTAGTCAGCGGTTACCACGTACTGGGCGTCACCCAGGCACAGGGCCCGTATTGGTGCTTTCCAAGCCCATTGTCCACGCAGCAGCCAGCAGTTGGCAGCCGCTGCTGTGAGCACTTTGCGTGTAAAGTCTTCCTGTTTGAAGTAGCCCTGGAAGGCGGTATCACTGCAGGGCCTGCCCTGCAGACAAGAGACCGGCCCAGGGAGGGTGAAGGGCCTGCCGGAGGTCGCAGCGTAACGAGAGCTGAGCAGGGTGCAGACCCAAGTCTCTGCCTCCAGCATGTGCGCGTCCCGCTCCCCCACCCTTTCCCTCCTAACAACCATGTTACTGCCCGGTACTTGCCCCTGGAGCATGCGTTTGCTCATGTATTTGCTCACGTATTCCCCTTAGTCACTCCCCAGTATCTGCTCAGGTGCGGTCCCTGGAAAGATTGCGGGCAAGTGCCAGTTAATTTAGGCCCTCACTGGCCGCCCAAGCCTGGCCTTGGCCCGGCCTCTGGTGTGCCCCAAAGGTGTGCCCCTTCGAGGTAATTTGGGGGCCGTTGCTGCTACCTTTTCTTCTTTTCTGTCTGAGCTGGCACGTCCTTCCCTCCCGGGTCCCAGAGGACTTGTGTGTGCGTGGCTGCCTTTGCCCTACCTGTTAGGTTTATCTCCCGGGAGGCTGGCTTCTTGGCCGTCCCCTAATGCACTGACTTCCCAGAGAAGCAGCGGCTGTGCCACTCATTTGGCACTGGGCACTGGCAGCCTCGGTGTGGCTGGGCACACTGCCGTTCAGTGCGGCCCTGGCTCATAGTCACCGAAGGCATTTGAGCTCCTCAGACTCAGCCTGTTGACTCCTTCGTAAATGTTGGGTTAACGGCAGCATGGTTGTGAGAAGCCCCAGTGATGAATAATGGGCCTACCGTCCTGGCTGGCAAGGAGCTAAACAGCTGATAAATGAACGGCAGCCATTCTTAGCATTGCTAGTGGCCCTTCCAACTCTAACCTTCTGCACGTTTGCATTCGTTTCCTGTGTCCCGTGGGAAGACAACCCCTCCCCCCACCCCAAGGACCAGAACCACGTCCTAGGCCTTCTTAGATCCCTGCTCCTTAGCGCTCTGCTCTGAATACAGGAGACTCTCAGAAGGGGCAGCCACTGAGCCGGCGGCCCTGCCCTCATGCCTCGAAGGCCTCTTCCCTGTTCTGGGTGCCCTTGTGAGCTCGAGGTTGACAGATGGCCACAAAGGCAAGTCAGAGCGACATTGTGGCACAGACATCTGCAGGGCCACGCAGGTCCCACTGGCCCCAGACCCTGCCCTCCCACTGGAAAAGAGCCTGGGTGGGCGGAACCCCAGCATCAGGGACAAGGGCCCTAGAGCAGACACTCTGTGGCCATTGTTCCCCTGGTTCCCAGGGCCCTGTGGCACTGGGCCTGCTCTGGTCTAGGGCCTCAGCGGGCAGTGTGACGAGACTGTCACTCAAGTTGCTGTGTGACTGGGAGAGGCGGGAAGGGAGATCGAGTACCTCTAATGAGAAGCATTTCCCAGTGCCGGGCTGAGACCCAAAGCCTGGACTGAATGGCCTGCTGCCTGGGGGCCTCCATGCTGGGCCTGGAGGCTGAGCCCCTTCCTGGGACCAGGACCTAGGGCTTCTCTGGGTGGCCTCACTGGGGCAGGGAGGAGCCTTAGTAAAGGCCAGCGACTCTCAAGTTGGGATTCCAGGAGAAGCCACTTCCCCTTTCTTTTTCCAGAAGGGCTGACCAGAGCTCTAGCCTGGCCCTGGGGAAGCGTGGGGCCAAGGCCGTGGGCTGAGGTCATCTCTGGAGCGAGACTGGGGGCTGCGCCTTAGTGGTGAGATGCCTGGAGTGTGGAGGAAGGGGGTGGGAGGGTGGCTAATGGGAAGCAGGTGGAAGGGTTTGCCCGGGTCCCCACCAGGGGACAGGCCGGTGGGATGGCTCAGTCAGTGGGAGAGCCCGTCAGCGCACAGATAATCCCAGGGAACAGGCTCCAGGATGCCCATTCATATTCATTATGTGCGAAGCGGGCGGTTGTAAAGTTAGCTTTCCCTTCATTTAGCTGTCACTGGGCAGAAAAATATGAGCTGTGGGTAGATGCCCCTGGATGGGAGCCAGTAGCCTGCCGGTGCCCTCCCCCACGGGCCCCGCCCGCCCCCTGCCTGCCTCTCCCGCTCTGGGCTCTGGCTGCAGCAGTCTCTGGCTCAGCTTTCCTTTCTTATCAGTCTCTTCCCTGCTTCTGCTCCCTTTGCTGTCCTTCCCTCTCCATCTTTTTCTAGGCCATGCTGGAGCCCTGCCCCTTCTCTGGCACTAGCATAGTGCCTGGAGCAGAGTGGGCGTGCAGGCACCATTTGTAGAACAAACTGCTCTTACTGCATCTCCGACGTGGGGGGTGGGGGTGGGCAGGAAATCCAGAACTGCCGTCCTGTCACAGGAGTGGGAAGACACTTCTGATGCAGCGGTCTTAGCCCCGGTGTCACCAACAAGCTGGGCGCCTCTCCCTCCCTCCCTCCCTCCCGACTCCCCTTCCTAGGACAGGGCTCAGTTGCAGCTCAGCCAGCAGCAGCACTGCCTGGAGAGGTGTCCCGGAGCCAGGCTGTGTCAGGATGGGAAGAGGAGGACACAGGTTTCCTGTGGGGCACAGTGAGCCCAGTAACAGTGACTGTCCTGGAGCAAAGGGACGTCTGATGGGGGCCTTGCCCCCCCCGGGAATAAGCCCAGTGCTGGTGCCTGCTGGGCTTACCCTGTGCCTGGAAGAGGATGTGCTGGGGGTGGGGGGCAGCCTCGGAGGCTGAGATCTGAGCTCTACATGGGGTGGTATTCTATTTGCTTGGGAGGGTGGGAGGCCGGGACTGCTGCTCCCCTGCCTCCCGGGCTGCGGAGATAAGGCAGAGAGTGGGGATGAAGAATAGGATGGGCCATACTCCGAAACCGCAGGAGGGAGTCCTGGCTTTCGTCTCCGACCCACAGCTCAGAAACGCTCTTGGGGCCTCTGGGGGCAGGAGTCTGCCCCACCCCCATGGCTCTGGGAGCTCAGAGCCCTCAGTCGGCTCCCCGGCCTCCCGTTCCACTGCCCTCTGTTGTCAGTTCAGCCACAAGCTTACTTGTGCTGTCTCACTGTCCTTCTCACTCCGAATTCCCTCAGGAGCCCAGCCGCCCCAGAGTGGGCCCTTCTCCCTGCCTTCCACACCAGCCAAAGCCCCCAGGGACCCTGGGCAGGTAACCGGGCCAGGCAGGGCATGCACCAGCCTCAGGGGCTCTGCTGCAGGCCCACGCTTCCCTGGCCCCGGGGGTCCCTGCAGCCCCTCCAGAGGGCCTGGCTGCCTGAGCACAGAGCAGCCCGAGAGCAACCCCCACCAAACCCTGAAGATCCGCAACTGCGGGGTCTTGAGAGCGCTGCCATCTTTATTATCATGCTGGGCAGCACACTTTTTTTCTTTTTTACAAAATCATTTTTACAAAATGGGAGTTGGAGTCTTAGGGGCTCAGAGGCTGGGAATCTGTTTTCTTACCAACGCCCAATGAGTAAACCAAGAGAGTCCAGGGTTCCCATGGTATACTGCTGGTCTGGTCCCATGGAGGAGAATCCAAATACTTCGTGGTTTCTGGTAGAATTCCTGCCCCCTCCCTCGACGGGTGGAGAGGACTCCACAGCAGGTGGGTTGGGGGAGTGGGCGGGCACAGGGGAGAAGTAAGGGGAGGCCTGGCACCTTTGACCTCCAGCTTCAGGTTCTGGTGAGCGCCAGACGCTCAGTGCACGCCCTCTGGTGGTGGGAGGAGGGAGTGAGGCCCCTGCAGGGGAACGTCCAAAGGTTCTGGTTTCTCCTGAGTCACAAGAAAACTCCTGGCTCAACCTGTGTCGTCCTCCCACTCTGCGTCCGGGAGTGAGGAGCCCACGAAGCTGTGTCAGCCAGAGGGATAACGTGGGCCTTGGACGAGGTCGGAAGGAAGCAGGGTGGTATCTCTCTCCGACCTATCGTGTGGTGGGAAGAGAAGCCCCCTTTCCTCCTGGGCAGCCCTGCCTTATTCTAAGAGCAAAACCTCGGCAGGAGGTGAGGGTCCCAGCTGCTCCGCCCGCCTCTGGGAACCATCTGGGGCGAGAGGCAGACGTGTGTCCTCTCTGGCATCCAGTCCAGGGTGGGGTGGGGACAGCCAGGAGCTGGAAGGGGCGGCAGCTGAGTCCGTGTCCACACATCTCATCACGTGGTCCAGTTCAGCAGGCTGGGTGGCTCCTTGGGCTTCACCCTGAGCGAGACGAGGCTGGGAGACTTGTAGTCAGCGTCCGGGGAGGGCTCGAAGCTGTGGTCCCCTAGGGCAGGGGAAAGGCTGTGGAGGGAGTAGATGCCGGGGTGGGCTCCGGGGGAGGCCGGCACCCCCATGAAGCCGGCCACATTCCCGTGCGAGTGGGGGTACGGAGACATGCACGGGGAGGGGATGCCCTCCGGAGACACGAGGCAGGGCCCAGCCGGGCTCCCGGACCCTGGACTGGGCCACAGGGCGCTCTGCAGCTGAGAGGAGAGACAAAGCAGGCCCGTGAGTCGGTAGCCCCAGGGTCTGCTTCCCTAACTCAGGGCTCACTTTGCCCTTAGGGCTCCTGACACTTTCCTGAGAGGCCTCTACTCCGCCCAGGTCTACAATCTGCCACCCTCCTGCCCCCAATGCTCACAGGAGGCCTGTCCCACTGCTTCTCAGGATTTTCCTTAGAATCCCTCTGTGCCAACTGCCCTGCAGGTGTCACTGGGGAGATGGCTGAGGGCTCGCTGGGCAGAGGAGGAAGTGATTTACCCACAGTTCGTCACACGGGACCCAGTGCCACTCCCCAGGGCCAGAGCTCACACTCTTGCTGGCTACCCCAGGGATGCAGTCAAGCTCTGACTGGGGGAGGGGTGCCTGGGGCATGGAGGGGTCTCACCTGGGGGTGGCTGTCAGTTCGGGGCAGCACGGAGATGTCATAGGCAGACGTGAAGGGGTTCCGCCCCTCCTGGACCTTCCCATAACGCTCCCGCTTCCGCCACTTGGCTCTGCGGTTCTGGAACCAGACCTGGGGGCAGAGGGCGAGGGGTGACAGAGTGGCCCAAAGAAGAGTGCAGGGGGCTGAGGAAAGAGCTGATGCTCGTGGCATATAGGGTGGGGAGCTGGCTCCCCGCTGGGGGATGTTGAGTGGCAGGAACTTGTAAATCCACATGGTTTTCAGAGCCAGGGGAACCTGGGAGAGGCCCCGCCAGCCTCCAGGCTGAGTCACGCTGGTTTTCCAGCCTGCCAGTGCCTGATAAGGGTGTCATGGTGCTCTGTGGCCTGTGGTTCCGAGGTGCTGATGCACATATATTAGGGTTCTAGCCACCAGCTTTCTCTCATTTTCTAGTCCGCCCACCTCCTGGTATCCTAGGAATGTTAAAGATATTTCTGTTCAGGCCGTGGTCCTGCTCAAAGCCCCACTCGCTTCCTGGGGAGCTCGGCCCAGAGCCCAGCTCTTGCACCAGGCCCTGTCTGCTCTTCATCCTCCTCTTCTGCCAGGCTGCCGAGCTGGGGACTGCCCAGCTGCCTCTGGCTCAGCCGGCCTTTGAAACACTCTGCCCCATTGCTCGTCCCTGCCTCTGTCAGGTTGTCCCTGCCTGCCCTGCCCACGCCCACCCTCCCCGAGCCCGTGCATCTGAGCTGGGCACCATCCGTCCCCATGTGTCTCAGACCACACCCTGTTGCTGCTGTCCGTGTTGGAGTTCGTCTCTGCCCTTCTCTGCAAGCTCCTGGCAGCGTGGGTGGCATGTGGTGTGCTGTGCGCCTCTGTGATGAATGTGTCCTTGGGCACGTGCCCAAGGACTGCTACATGTATGTGTATTAGCGTTTGCACTGTCATTTCATGAACTTACATGTTGGCCTGTAGACTAGATATTGGCGGCGTTAAAACAGAACCAGACCTAGACCATCGCCCTGTTTCCTCAGGATCTAGCTGGGGCTGCATCAGAAGCATGCCACCCATGTACAAAAGTAACCCCACCATAGCCCCTCACACTCCTCCCCAGTCATCCTGCCCAGGCAGGCAGGTCAGGCCCTGAGTTCAGGAGCTGGGCACACCCTTCCCCCAACCCTGGGTTGCAGAGACCCTGCAGCAGGCCGGGGCAAGCCCAGAGGAAGGGTGCCCCACCTGCCCAGCTCCTGTCCGCTACGGCCTTCCTTTCCTAACTCCCTCCCCCACAGGCCTATGAGGGCACCTGGGCCAGTGAGGCTGACCACTTGCGTGGGAAGTCTTCCTCTCACCACCTGCTCTCTCTGGATCCCCCACTGCAGGCTGCCACCTGTGCTCCGGACCTTTGCTCTATACTGTCTCATATGTGGCCTTATTATCCTCTGCACAGCGGGCCCTATGGGTGGCTGTCACACTCCTGTTGGAGACGGAATCCCTACTATGCAGCCTCCATCACCCAGACGCTTCTGCATTGGGTCTGGGGCCTTGTGGCTCTGCCTACACCCTTGCAGGGCCAAGAGGAGGACCCGGACCCATGTCCAGGGCAGTCCCCTAGGGGTGGCTGGTCAGACCACAGCCCAGTGGCTTGCCAAGGCCTCCAGAGACAGGACGCTCCGGCCTTCTGCAGCTCACGTCATCTGGGGTTGGTCTTCTCACTCTGATGGCTGTAGGCCCTGGTGAGCGCTGGTGGGCAGTCCCAGACACCCATTTTGGAGGGGACGTGGGAGCAAGAGGACTCAGCAGAGAAGGGGACATGGCCCGGGACATGGCCATGGTCTTACGTGGTGTCGGCGGTAGGACCCGCTCTGCTGGACGCAGCTGGCCTGATGGTCCCCACAGTCTGCCAGAGCTGCCCGGCCCCAGGGCCGCCACAGACTTGGGAGGAGCCTTACTCAGGGAGTGACAACCAGGTCTCCTGCCTGGAGGCTGTCCCCTTGCCATCCCCCAGGGAGCCCGTGGTGTGGCATGAAAGGGCAGCAACCACCACCTTCCCCTTGGGCCAGACCTTTCCTGAAGCTGCCCAGCCCCACCCCCTGCCAGCCACCTTCGAGTTCTTCCTCTCCTCCAAAATGGCTTACACAGGGCCTTCCTTTCTCCCTCTCCCCTGTTCCCAGCGCCTGTCAGCCCGCCACCTGCACCCCCACAGCTGGGCCCCACCCTTTGCGGAGCTGGCCATAGCCCATCCAGAAGCCTGGGGCCACATCCCTGTTGGGAGAGTTTGCTGGGTGGGGTGGGGCCCCGGGCCAGAGTCTGAGTGTCGTTGGGACCTGGAGGTCACAGGCGCAGGATGGCTTTGAGTACCACTGAGCCTGAGAACCCCCAGGGGGGGCCCCTCCCATTCTGGGCAGCCACCTCTGGAGCAGCCCCAATAGGTCCCCCTCGTTTCTCTGCTTCCAGAACACTGCCTGGCTGTACTCCTCAAAGCTACTCCATAAGCGGGCGGCCCCATCCTCCTCTCCTAGACTGGGAGACTGAGACGGAGACAGCCACAGGCAGGCCCCACGTCACCTGGTCAGCAAGCAGTCAGTGGAGACGGGACTGCCACACGGGTCTCTGACCCCCTGGAGGCCGTAGGCCCCACACTCAGGCCTAAGCCTCCACCCAGGCTGCTAGCTTGTGGCCCCAGTGGAGCTGGGTGCAGAGGGTGAGCCCAGGAGGGGCAGGCCGGGCACGGGCACCAGAAATGGGCACCAGGAATGGCAGCATTGTGCCGCGGGCTGGAGCTCAGCCCTCAGGTGGCCTGGCCCGCCCCTGGGTGGTCGAGGCAGCCGAGGGCCCAGGATGCCCTCACCTGTACTCGGGCCTCCGTGAGGTCTGTGCGCAGCGCCAGCTGCTCCCGGGCATACACATCAGGGTAGTGGGTTTTCTGGAAGACCTTCTCCAGCTCCTCCAGTTGGAAGGTGCTGAAGGTCGTGCGGTTCCGGCGCTTCTTGCTCTTGTTCTTGCCCAACTCCATGGAGTCAGGGAGTCCCGGGGACAGAGGGACACGCAGGCTGGCCAGGCAGGGGCCTGGGGAGCCTTGCATGGCAGAGGGCCCGTCTCTGGGGCCCCCGAGGCGGTCCAAGGGCAGCTGGGGGAAGCTGGCGGCTTTGGAGGCCTTCTCCTCCGCTGCAATGGAAACACGGAAAGGAGGATGGAAACCGAACCAGGGGTTTTGTGGGTGGAATGGAGGGAGGGGAAGACTGTTGACGCTTCAGTCCCCGCCTCCCCCTTCTCACCCCTCCCTCTGCAGACACCCTCCGTGGAGCCTGGCATTGGGAGGCCTTCCTGCGGAATCTCCAGCTGGGGAGGGGGCCCCAGGGAGCCATGCTGTCTGTGTTCTGGGCGGGTCTGCGGGGGCCGAGGGAGGTCCGTTTCGGGGAAGCACTCTGGGGGGGCGCGTCCCACGGGGTGTGGCGGTGCCAGGATGGCGCCACGGCACGGCTTAGAGCCCCAGCGGGCGGAGGGAACTGAGGAAGGGGTGGTTGACATGTCCCTGCCCCTGCCAGAAAGGACCTCCTTGTCCCCCTCGCTGCAGGCCTTGGTTCCCACGTCCTCGTGCCCATGACACAGATACCAACAGGGCCCCTCAGACAGCCTGGCTGGTTTGGCTGCACCGCGTTCCCTGGGCCCCGCATGTCAGGGCTAAGTGAAGTCCTCCTGCCCTGGGGTATAAAGGGCAAGATGGGGCAAAGAAGCTTCCAGAGGGATTGTCTCATTCCTCCCACAACTGTGATGTCTGGGCAAGGGCTGAAGCTCCAGCAACAGAGAGTCAGGAGCTAAGCCCCGCTCAGAGAAGGAGGGTCGGCTGGCTGGTGTGGGGACCGGGCTCAGCCCCCAACCCCAGGGTTGTCCCTCCCTCCTCTAGAGCTGCTGACAAGCAGGGGGACCTGTATGCAGACTGGGAACAGCCCCCAGGACCCCCGCTCCAGGGGCCTAGCCCTGCACTCTGGAAGCTGGCGAAGGCCTAACCCCGATCACCACGCTCTCTCCCTCTGGCGAGGACCCCCCACAGCCTCACCATGAAGTCCCCACAACAGTCTGCGGATGACAGGAGAGACGCCACCAAGACGCCCCACTGACTCACAGGCCCCCTTCCCTAGCCCCAGGCCGGCCCCCAGGAGGCCCAGCAAGCTGACACCAGACGTCAGCGTCTTCTGGGACTTGGTGTCAGGATGGCAGCTGTGGGGGGGAGGACAGGACTGGGGGGTGGACTCTGGGTCCAACGAGTCCCCCTCTGGGCTGTAGAGGTCAGGTAGTGCAGATGTCCCTCAGCAGGGGTTGGGCAGGGACCTTCCAGGGCCACCCAGGTGGTGAAGTGCACTCCCTGCTGTGTGTCCTGGTGGCCTGGGAAAGTCAGGTCACCCTGACCCTGGGCTGCACACAAATAACAGGCCAGGGGCCAGTTTGCCTTCACAGCAGGTGAAGCTCAGATTGCAGAGAAAATGTGCCAGCCACCACCTCCCACCCTGCTTCCACTCTGGGCCGTGCAGGCTTCTTGTGGTTGTTCTGGGGGTAGGAGCTTAGGAAGAAGGACCCCTGGAAGGTGAGGTGAAGCAAACAGTTGGGAACGGTCAGGGAGACTGGGAGGCCAAACAGGGACACCCTGCACCTAGCAGGCCTGAGACGTGGAGAAGTCAGCAGGAGGTCCCTGGACTCTGGGGGCAGAGGGTGAGTGGGGCTCAGGGGTGGGGGCCAGGGAAGTGCTGACATCTCTGCAGGGCCCCCCAAAGCTCTGGGGCTTGTTCTTCTGCCTCCTGGGCCCTCAGTATCTGTTCCAAAGGAATCTGCCCAGAGGAAGTGGACAGATCTGGGGCCCCAGGACTTGCCTTCCTGACCGGCAGCCCCCCAGGATCAGGGCTGAACGTGTGCTGGGACTTCTCAGGATAGCTGCCCCCAGAAGGGCCACGCCTGCTGGCCTTGGGTGCCCCACACACACACACACCTGCCCATTCTACAGCCCTCTCAGGGACCAGGAAACTTCTCCCGCCGTCGCCCCAGACCTTCCCCAGCTGCCTGGAGGACTGTGGGGGGAGGGCAGTCTTCCCCTTCTTTGGGGGATGGGGCGCACCTCAAAGAACACCAAGCAGCACTGAGGATGGACGCCCTGAAAAGAGATGGAAGTGGGAGGTGGAGTGGGTCAGTGGGCCAGCAGTTGGCAGCTAAGCTCCAAGGGGAAGGATGTGCTCTAAGACCCGGGGGGCCCTCCGGGTACAGGCTGTGTGTGGGAGGCCCTTGCCCCTGGCGGGGACCCCAGACCGGTTCAGGGAGAGTGCTCATGTCGGGGCCTCAGAGCCTGGGGCTCGGTGCCTGGGTATCAGGGCCTGTGTAACCGAAGCACCAGGAAATCCAGGAGCCAGGATGAGGGCCGCGGGCACGGCGCTCATCCCTGGCTCTCATGCTCGCAGCACACCCGCCGCCCTACTAGCAGCCACAGGGTGCACACCGCTGGGCTGCCCAACTGGAGCCTTACTGCCCCTCACGATGGTGTCCACTGGGTCCGCAGGACCAGCCACCCAGCTTGAGCTTTGGCCCCGATTTGATCTGTGCCCCAGCGGCCTCTGGATCAACCCTCAGTGCTCGTGGAGGCCGGGCTCCCGCAGCTCTGGGAAGCCGGCGCCATGGAAGCACAGCGTGTGGGGCCCCAGCGGGGCCTGGTGCTCACCCTGGGGTTTCCCAGCTTTGGCCTATCGGGGTGTCCAACCTTCTGGCCTCTCTGGGCCACACTGGGAGAAGAGCTGTCTTGGGACACAGGTTACATACACAAACACTGATGAAAACTGATGAGCCGAGAAGAAAAAGGTTTTAAGTAACTATACAATTTTGTGGTGGGCCACATTCATAATCACCCTGGGCAGAGTGTGACCCGCTGGCCACAGGTTGGACGCCCGTAGCCCTAGAGGTCTCTGCCTGGGCTGAGGAGCTGGAGCTCCCCTCGGGCCATGGTCTGCCCCGGGGAGCCCAGCCCTGAAGGTGACCCCGCTCAGGGCCTGAGAGCCAGCCGGCCAGTTCCGAGGTCAGACAGCCCAGCGAGGGGACAAATTTCAAGGCTCGGCAGAGCAGAAAGGACCCACCAGGCACCTCTCCGGGGCCCTGAGCAGCCACGCGCAGGGGGCAAGGAGGGTGGCCGGCACCGACTGGACGCGGCCGGGTCCGGAGTAAGGGCTGGGCGCTCCCCGTCAAGAGGGAAGAGGAGCGGGGTGAGCCAGGCTCCGGGGCCCGCAACTGCCCGGCCGCGGCCAAGACCGCGCCGCAGATGGGGAGCAGCTGCGAGCTCACTGGTCTGAACTGGAAACATTCAAGCCCGTTATTTTAAAAGCCGGGAAATAAGGCGGGTCCCCCTTTTGCCCGCCACATTTCACTCGCAGACTGCGCGCCCGGACCCGGGGCCGTCGCTCCCCAGCAGCTGGGCTCCGCCTCAGGCGCCCGGGCCGCGCGCCCCTGCGCCCGCCGAGTTCCAGCCGGGGCGCGGGGACCAGAGAGCTCTTTCCGGGCTCCGCTCGCGCCCGCCGCGCCTCCTTTTCGTTCGGCCTGTCCTCTGCTCGGCTCGAATCGTTCGTTTTCTTCTCCCACTTGTTATCATTTTGCTGTTTTCTGCTCTTTTAGGGTGTCCCCTTCTTCTTTCGTTTTGCCTGCTCCGACTCCCTTCTCCCTCCTCCATGTACCCGCTTCGTTCGATCTCCGCTCGCTTTTTTCCTTGTTCGTTTTTCATCTGCTTCTTCCCGTTCTGACGAGCTCCCCGACCGCCTCGACTCTCGTCATCGCCTCTCTCCTCCGATGCTTCGTTCGGTTTCCTTTCCCCTCTTTTCGGTTGTTTACACTCTTTGGCTTTCTTTCCGCGTATTTCGTTGCTGGCCCCCTCGCCCTCGTCGGTTCCTGCAGCCGCTCCGCCGTTCGCTCGGCGTCGCGCGGGGTCCGGCGCGCCTGGCAGGCCCGCAGGGTGGACTCCGTCCTTCGCCGCGCGCCCAGCTAGGCGGGGTACCTGTGCCCGACGGTGCTGCCGGCGCTGCGCGACCGCCGCCTCTGGCTGGGATCAGAGGAGCCAGGCCAACTGCTTCTCATTAAGTCCCAACTGTGGTTTCTATCAGGAGAGCCTCTTTCAAAGGGCACAGACACGAAGCTTCGCGGCCTCGCTCATTTCCTCCGCTGACCCCCACACCCCTCCCGCCCTCTCCTACACATTCCCACTGTCGGCTGGGCAAGGCCGGAGCTGGCCGTCCACTCCGCGGGGGCCCGTGAGGCGCCGGCGGGGCGGAGGCGGCTCAGGCCGATCTCGGAGGGCGCAGCTCTGGGCCTCAGCTGTGGGAGTTGGCAGCGCAGAAGGGGCCGGCGCCCAGTCTCCCACAGACCCACCCGCGCGGTGGGCGCTGGCGGGGCTGTGGAGCCGCCTGCCAGGCCCCAGCGTTGGGGCGCGATCGCGGGAGGTGGCCGGGTCCAACTGCCGGAGCGCACGGAGCACCGAGGCGCCGGCACCGGGGCGCCGGGGGATTAGGCCAGCCCGGGCTGCTCCCGACGGCCCAGCGGTGACGATTCAGTGCAAGGAAGCCAAGGCTGCGAGAAGCGGGGCCATCGCCGTGCTAACGACGGGGAGGCCAGGTTAGTGGGAGAAACAAGAGCACAGTTATTACTTTGAGTGGCCGCGGCGCTGCGGGACCAGCGGCGGCCACCCCACGAGCGCCTTCCCCGAGGAGGCTGGGCCTGGGGAGGAGAGGCCGGCAGAGGCCAGGCCGCAGCCCTCGGCGGGCCGGCAGAGCCAGTCCGTGTCGGAGCCCAGCCTCGGGGCTGCCGCCGGAGCTAGACACACAAAAAAGCCGCCAGTGTGGGTCTGCCAGTATCGGGGCCGAGGGCCGAGTGTGGCGCCCGGGCCCTGGGCCGGGGCCGGGTTTCTGGGTGGGTGGCAGTTCCAGCCCCACTCCGGCCAGCCTCCTTCCCGGCTCCAGCCGCCCTCGGGCCCGACTGGGCCCGGGCCTTCGCCGCTCCACCCTTCCTCGACCTCCAGCCTCCCATTCCCGCCGCCGAAGGCACGCGAGGCTCTGCCTCCCGCACCACGCCGTCTTTTGCCCGGCCTGGACCACCGGGGGTTCCTCTTCCTAGCGAGCCGTGGCCCGGGGCGAGAGGGTCATAAAGTTGAGAAATAGTCGAGCCGGGGAGAGAAGCGGGAAGGCCGGGGCCGGGCGGGGAGGAAAGGGGAGCGGGTCCAGCTGCGCGCTGCACCCCGCGCCGCGCGTTACCTTCCGCGGGGCCCTCGTAGAAGTGGCTGCCGTTGAGCGCCGGGCCCGGCCCCAGGTCCTGCAGGTACTTGGTGGGCGGCTTGGCCGGCTCTGGGAGGTACGGCTCCAGGGGCCCGCAGGCCGGAAAGCGGGTCAGTCGCGGGCCGTGGGGCGGCGCGGGGTGCAGGTGAGGCGCGGCGGCAGAGGTCCCCTGGGCGCCCTGAGGCTCATCCCCGGCGGCCGCATAGAGGTCGGGCCCCGGCCCCACGCCGAAGGGCGCGCAGCGCTCCGGGTCCATGCCGGCTCCGGGAGCATAGGCCGCCGGGGCTCCGGGGCTCGCGCTGCCCGCGCGGCCTGTGAGCGCCCGCCAAGGGGGAGGGACCTGGGCTCGGGGGCGCGGAGCCCCCGGGAGCTGCGTGCGCCGCGGTGGGGGGGGGTGCGGCGGGCAGTGGAGGGGGCCGCGCCTCGGCTGGAACCCTCCACGTCACACGCGGCCCCTGCGCGGGTTAACCCCTCGGAGCCCGAGAGCCCCCAGATTCACCCCAGCCTGCCTGTCCGAGGCAGCCGGAGGAAAGGGCAGACCCCTTTGTCTGCCCATCTTCGGGAGCCCCTTGCTCGGAGCAGCACCGTTGGTCCTGATACCCTGTCTAGAGGCTCTTGCCCCCAGAGGGGGAAGGCAGTCCTCCCCCCAAACCCTATACCGCCGGCCCCCCCTCAATAGACCTTGTTAGGCCTGGTCTCCAGACACCAGTCTAGGATGAGGGCCGAGGCAGGTAAGGGCTGGGACGTGACCTAACTCCTTGCTGGGGGCTGGGGAAAGGTCGCCTCCAGCAAAACACCTCCCTTGGAGCACTCTTATTTCTCTCTGGGATCAGAGTCACCGGGAGTGTGGTGTGCAAAGGGCTCCAATGCGGGAACAGGGGCTGGGCACTGTCTTTAGTTAGCTGTGGGACCTCGAGCCAGCCCCCTCCCCCATTTAACTGTGGAGGTCAGACCGAGTCAGTCCTCAGCCTCTTTTTAGGTACTCCTGCTGGATCTGGAGCGGCCGCAGGGCCTGAGCACCTAGGGTCACTCTCAGGGGCAACTCGGGCCTGAAGAGAGACCCACAGAGGCAGCCTTTGGAGCAGGTGGTGGCGATATGCGGGTTTGGGGTTTGAATGGCAGGCACGGAGTGAATGCTTGTCAGCGGGCAAACGATCTGCAAGAGTGGGGGTCGGGGGGCAAGCCCTGTAGAGGGACTGCCTGCAGCTCAGACCCGGGGCTTCTCTGCCCCAGGCTGGCCATGTCGCAGGGGAGGGAGGGTAGCATCGGGTCTCCTGAGAGGTGGGGGTCTCCAGCCGAAAGGAAGCACAGGACAAACGCAGTAGTTTAGCCTAATTTCCCACGGGAGACTCAACCCCACCCTACCTGGGATCCACAGCATCAGAAATGCCAGAGGGCCCTGCTCACCTCTGTGGATTGAGGGGTCCCTCCGTGGAATGAGTCACGCTGCGTTTTATTTTTCAGTGCCTCAGGAGACCAGGGAGAAAAGGTGGCGAGTCGAACATCATTTGTATTTCATCTGAATTCTCAATTTTTTAAAGGAATCCAAGAAGCCTGGTGTGAACACCTCCCTCTTCCGCTGGGGGCTTAGGAGGGGTTTCGGGGCTGTCCTCAACCAGAGTCAGGCCGTAAATCAAGGCCAAACAGGAACCAGAAGCCTTGCATCTTGCAAACAGTCATTAAGACGTTATTAAACATACCGTAACTTCTCTGAAGCCTTATTGGTTTAAACACCAAACTGGAGGCATCGTGGCCATTAGAGCCCCTGCTCATGGCCTGTAGACGGGCATGAACTGTTTCCAGCCAGGAGGGAGGCTCAACTCAGAATTAAGTTCCTCTCTGGCCTCACCAGGGGTCCGTTCCCTGGGATCCTACGGATTCCAGCTCTGGGCAGACAGCCGGTGTGATCCCTTCAAACCACGCATAATGCTTTTCCGTAGTTATTGGGGTGCGCTGTGAACACTGTTTTCCCATTTAGGGGGATGTTGGTGTCGATGCAGGACACCTTCATCTATTGAACAAGGAATCACGTGGCTTCCTGTGCAAGATGTAAGTATGACACAGGAAAAATGTCCCCACCTACCGTTTAAACAAGGCAGCCTGGCAGAAATGCCAAGCGTTTCGCCTCGGGTGACCCACTAAAGCTTCGTTTCCTCGGCGTAAACATGGGCAGTGCCCACGGAGGTGGGATGGTGGAAAGCACTCAGGCTTCGGTGCCTGTGATGAGCTGTGATGAGCAGAGATTCTTACGATCGTGGCTGTCGTCAGAAACAGCAGCCCAGATTTCTGGGTTATGTCACTGAAGTGTCAGGAGGCAGCTGACCCTGTCGGAACAGGCCGGAGGCTGGGGCTGAGCTGAGAGCCCTGGGGATCTCCACCCCTCCCCAACCCCCCCAGGGCCCCCTGCCATTCTCTCGCTCTGAACGGACCGGTTTCCGTGCTCAGGTGGAGCTGCCTCATGAGCTGAGGTGGCAGGGTAGCTGGAGTCGCCCACCTGGGAGGGTTTTGTCCTGGGAGCATGCAAGGCAGGGGACACAGCAGAGCCTCTGCCGTTGGCCCATTAAATCACTACTGCAAACCGCTATCTGCATCCATATGTGGTCTGGAAGACTTTGATGGGGCAGGTGCATAGACAACACCAAAAAAAAAAAAAAAGGAAATTGCTTGCTGAGTTTTCCTTCCTAGGAGGACACAGTGGTCCTGGAGAACCACAGGGGCCCGCCGTGTAGAGACAAAAGCACTAGCTAACACACGGTACAGACAGCATGCCAGACACTTCTCGCACCTAGTCTGTATCCCCTAAGTTATTGAGGTCTCTCAACAATGTCACGAAGTAGGCACAGCTATTTCCATTTACAGAGAAAGAGACAGGCCACAGAGGGAGCCAGCTGTCCAGGGTGCACACAGCCACTCAGTGGCAGAACCAGAATTTGCGTTCACATCCATGGTCTCCACCAAAGGGAAGAAGTGGAGATCCGAGTGAAGGGGGACAGAGCTGGTCCTGGGTACAGTCACAATGCCGCCTTCCTGATCGCCCAGGGCTGGTTTATGGAGACCCTGGCGGCCTCCTGCCGTGGCGGCCCTGCAGTAGGTGGAGAGGGGCTTCTTCCGAGCTGAGACGGAATGAAACAGAGCGTCCAACACCTGAGAGGTTTTACGACCCCCCGACGCAGCCAGATGTGAGGCAGAGTTTAAAGAGAATTTGTAAGGTCCCGGTTCACACTGTTTAATAACCAGCTGGATTTACAAGAGTGTCACTGATGCCTTGTCCTTAGAGCAAAGCAAGATGAACGGGCCAGGTGACCCAGAGAATTCTAGGTTCTGTCGTGAAAGAATCGTAAAGAGAAAAACCTCGGTGCCCACTGAGAAGTGTTACTCTTAAAATGGACATGGTACAGTAGACTGACTGTTTGTACCCGGCTGTTTCGTTCCTTCACGCGGTAGGAGGACCCACCGCCATGTGACCAGCATTTGCTGGCATCGGGACGCAGCGGAAAGCGCGGCAGACAGACCCCGGTCTTCATGCAGCGTGCACTCAGCGGGGACGGCCGTGGCTCGCCCCAGTGAGAAGAGCTCCCTCCGATCTGCATGAGAACGAAACCTGCTCTCGAGACCCCCTGCTGCAAGGTCAGTCCTTGAACCGGGGAGACTTCGGTCCCATCTCACGCTTTGCTTTCATTTTCCACTTCCCCCAGCCTACACCCCGGGGAAGGCGAATGCCCTTCTCTTCTCCCGAAGGGGCTGGAACAACAGGGAAGATGGGCCCGCACATCTGACATTTGTTTGACACACACACAACATTTCCTTCCAGGCAGGAAAGACTCCCTTACTGTTTCCTTCCAGGGGGACCGTCTGTGTCCCCCTGGCCCTGTGCAGACTCTGGAATCCTGAATCGATCCCAGTGAAAATTCCCGGCTTGGGAGCCCAAGTCGGTTGTTTCTCATTAGTGACATTCTTCCTGGAAGGTCAGGCCAAGGAATGGTAAATAAACGTCCAGATTCAGCGCTTCCTCCCCACCCGTGATATTTAAAAGAAAGAAGGAAGCTGGGGCGGGGGGCGGGGGGGCTCTGGGTACCCAGAATCCTTGCCCCAGCTCCTCACGGTCTGGGCTGAGGGCTGTCTGTGCTTTGGAGTAACAGTTCTGGGCAGCGAGGAAGCTGATTCTTCTGCCGAATCGGCCTGTTTCCTTGGGGCAGGCCCATGCCCTGCGGGTGCCTCCCTCTCTGCCCTGGAGAACTGAGAGGGATGACTCTCTAGTTCGGGTTTACTGGAAGGAAGCAGACAGTGTTTATACAGACATTTTTTAAAAATTATTTATTTGTTTGTGTGTGTATGTGAGAGAGAGATCGATTTGTCGTTCCACTTATTTATGCATTCACTGGTGGATTCTTCTATGTGCCCTGACTGGGAATTGAACCCTGAACCTCGTTGTATCAGGACATGCTCTGGCCATCCGAGCTCATTTCTTGAGCCTGACTCTACCCTGAACCTCTGCTTCTCTGCTCCTTCTCTCTGCTCACCTCCGGGGGGCTGGGTTGGAAACGGTGCCGGTCTGAGAGGCAGCACCACGCCCGGGATGTGGCGGTTCCCTGAGGCCAGCGTGCCCTGACGTCCTCCTCCTGGCCTTTGCGTGCCATTTGTCAAGGATTCTGTGGCAAGTGCCTGCACAGACCAGAAGCCAGTCTGTGGGGGAGTTTTCGATGAACTCAGCCTTGGTGTAAAGGGGGGGCAGGTTTAAACTTGGCAATTTTAACACTCAGATCAACCGATCTTTTGCATTCATTTACTCTCCAAGCCTTTCCTGTGTGCCTGCCATGTGACAGCCAGTGGGGTGTACGGTGAGGACAGGGACACAGACCCCTTACCCTCAGGGCGCCCCAGCCCGGCAGGAGGGCAGGAGGGTCTGAGGGCTGGGAGACAGGCATCTGCCCCCGCCCTGGGTGGAGGCAGCTGGTCACAGAATGCAGACTGAATCCACAGAATGCTTCCATCCAAGATGAGCAGGAGTTAACCAGGGTCGGTGTACAGAGGGGCAGGGAGAGAGGGCACTCTGAAGAGAACAGCCCAGAGGTGAACACCAGGTGTGGGGACCTTGGGTTTGTGGAGTGTTGCTGGAGCCTGGGCAGGAAGGGGGCTGGGGCTGGGGCTGGGCTCGGGGAGGAGAGACGGTGGTGGCCACAGGAATCCAGAGAAACTCCGGGGAGAAGGTGGGATGGCTCCGCAGGCATCGGTCCGCATCTGCCAGGCTCTGGTTTCACTAGTGGGACCCAGGGCGGAGGAAGCCCCAGGCCCGGG